TAATATATATAAAGAGATTAAATTTTAGGAATTGGTTCATGCAATTATGGAGGCTGCAAGTCCAAAATCTGCAAAGTAGGCCAGTAGACTGGAGACCCAGAGAAGAGCCAAGGCTGCAGTTCAAGTCCAAAAGCCATCTGCTGTAGAATTCCCCCTTGCTTGTGGAAAGTCAGTCTTTTGTTCTATTTGAGTCTTCAACTGATTGGATGAGGCTCACCCACATCATGAAGGGCAGTCTGCTTTACTCATAGTCTACAGACCTAAATGTTAGTCTTATCCTCCCAAACCCTCACAGAAACATCCAGAATAATGTTTTACCAAAGATCTGGGCATTGAGGGGTGAGTATAGTTCAGTGGTAGAGCATGTGCTTAGCGTGCATGATTCAATTCCTAGTACCACCAATAAACAAAAACAAAACAAAACAACAACAACAAAAAAAAAACCCCAAATATCTGGGCACTGTGGCCCAGCCAAGTTGACACATAAAATTGTATTTTATGTGTAATTGCACCTGGTTTCAGAATTCACACAGCCTTACCTCTACCACATTCTGTAGGTCAAGGCAGTTACAAAGGTCTAGCCAAATACAAGAGAAGGGAACACAGAACACCACCCACCCCTGACCCCTGCTGCCAACTCAGTGGAGGAGTATCAGTGTCATGCTGTAAGAAGCATATGCATGTGGCATGGGGATATATATTGATGTGGCATCTTTGGAAAATACCATATCACAGATGCAATCTGTAATATAAGGGAAAAGGCAACCAATTTATAATAAAATATTATATCTTTCAAAATACAAGTTCTCGGGTGTGGCTGTGCTCAAAGTTGTAGTAGAGAAGTCAAGTGTCCTGCAGCTGGACACAGCATCACATTGTGTGTGGGCACCGCAGTTGCAGATTGCTCCAGGTATCTCACTTGGGAAACCCAAAAAACACAAATGGAGCTGCTGTGGGCGGTGTGATTATTCCAAAACGGTGAATGCTGTAAAATCCTACACAAGACAAAGAGCAATTTTTCCTCTGTTTACAGGGTAGTTGCATTCCTGGGGGTGGCGGAGGAGTGGGGAATCGGGGCATATAAAAATATGCAAAAATGACTTTACCCATAAACCTGGGTAAAGTGGAGTTAGGTTTCAAGGCTCAAAGCACTATAAATAGTTTTACCTATAAGAATGTCTTGGGATCACTCAAACGTCATGTTGGGTACAGGACAGTTCCTACAGAAGTACCCAGCCCTTTGCAGGAGGGCTTCTGGCATCCTTGATCTCCCCCTACTAAAGGCCAAGAGTGCCTTCTCCAGCACCGAGACCACCAAAACCAGCCCCCACACCTTTCTAAAACTCCTCCTGGAGGGCAGCAGCCACCCTATTGAGAACCAGTGCTGTCAAGGAAGGGAACAGAGAAATTCCAAAAATTCCCTTGGAGAAGGTCTGGGGAGTGTAGAAATGAACCAACCAGTGCCAAAACGGAGAATGGAAGACAAAAAGCCCAATGCCATAGCTGATAGGCGAGACCACCCTGTGTGTGTGTGTGGTGGAGGGGAGGGTCTGTTCTGACCCATCCCAGAGACCCCCACCTGCTTCTCCAGGGATCCAGCACCAGCCAAGACTGGCCACAAAAGAGGCCTTTCCTGCATGTCCACTGTCGTCTGCATCACGGGACCCTAAGCTTATAGGATGTTTCCCAAACTGGGAGTGAAGCAAGGGAAAAAGGAATGGAATAGCCAACAGTGTTTTCTTTTTGATCATTGCACCCTAATAGTTGGGCCTCTCCTTGGTTACCGATGAAAGAAAAATCTTAGGCCTTATTGGGACTAATTGATAAAAATTAGAAACTTAAAGGTGTCCTCATTTTTAAAAAAACAAAGCGTCATTCAGGAACCTCTATGTCATACCTAATATATCTTTTAATTTCCTACCCCTGGGCCTTTGCATCTGTCATCCGCCCTGTTAGAATGTCATCTTCTCTGGAAGCCTGTGTAAAGCCTGTTCACCCTCAGTCCCACCTCCTTCATGAGGTCTGGTGTGCCCAGCCCAGCCCAGCCCAGCCCAGGAGAACGCTTTTCCTCCTCCACACACCTCTGTCTCTCGTGGGCCCATCAGACTCACGGGACTCACTGGACTCTCACATGCTGCGTGTATCTTTCATTAGGCTCTTCTCTCTCACTGGATACTTTTTTAAGGGCAGCAACTCATGCTGATGCCCATGTTTCTGTGCATCTTCCCCCAGCACCTAGTCCAGTGTCTTGATCAAAGGACAAATATTTCAGATGAACTCAACAGGAATGAAACTATCAATTCTGCCACTTGAAAGATCGTGACTTCAGCCTCTTGAGGTCAAACTAAACTAAACATTCGCATCACTGGGAATTAACTGCTGAATTTTCAGAGCTCCGTTCTTCCTGTCAGGGGCTGAACTTTGCTACTTTAAACGATAGGGCATTGATTTTGTTTGAGTGAATGTTGGGAACAGCTGCAGGCGAGGGAAAGCTGCAGAGGTCTGAGCCAGGAAGTTAGGGGCAGGTGAAGAAGGGAGTAAATTCTCCTTGGCCTTAAAGAGGCACAGCCCTGATTCCCTCTCGTGGAGGAGGGCAGTGTGAGAGTTTCTTCAGCTACCTGAAGGGAGTCGTCAAGAATTATCCTCCTCAAATGTTATGACCTGTTTCCTTGTCACATTTTCATATCTAAATATTCCCATCAATCATTTCAGAGACTCCCAGAGCCCCTGTGTGGAGTTTCTCTGCCCCCCAAGAGGAGAGAACTTTCAGAAATCCACTGAATTACAAGAACTTGTTCATTTTTATTTTTAGCTGATTGGGAGGGTTTGTTGTTGTTGTTGTTGCTTTAAATTTAATCACAGGCCCTGAATCTGCTTTCACAAGAGTGTCTGTGTCCTTGTCTTTGTGACCTTGTTCAATCCTCAAGTTAGGACTCCCCGTATCTCACAGTCTCATAGTGGCCTGAACCCCCCCTACCTGGCATTTGTACAAGTGTGCTTAAAACTCTACTTTTTAATGATCTGTTTAACGCTTCCTTCTCCTGCTGAGCCGCATGCCCCATGAGGGCAAGTGGCCGGGCCTGCCAGGTCCACCACTGTGCTGTTGGTTCTTGGCACAGAGTGTAGCAGGGCTTGGTTACTGTGCACCAAGTGGGAAAATAGTTTGGCAGTTCCTCAAAAAGTTAAATGTAGACTCACCATATGATGCTGCAATTCCACGCCTAGGTATCTACCCAAGGGAATTGAAAACATACGTCTACACAGAAATTTGTCCACAAATGTCCATAGCAGCAATAGTCATAATAGCCCAAAAGTGGAAACACCCAAATGTCTGTCAGCTCATGCATGGATGAATAAAATTGGTCTAGCTATACAGTGGAATAGTATTCAACATAAAAAGCAATGAGGTCCTGTTGCATGCTACAAATGGATGAACTGTGGAAACATCAAGCTAAATGAAATAAGCCAGACACAGAAGGTCACATACTGTTTGAATTCACTTATATTACATGTCCAGAATAGACAAATCCATAAAGACAGAAGGTAGATGAGTGGTTGCTAGTGGGTAGGGGAAGAAGGTGATGGGAAATGACTTTGCATGAGGTTGCTTTTGGTCATGAAGGAAATCCTTTGGAATTAGAGAGTGGTGATGGTTGCACAACACAGGACTATATTTAAAAACATTGAATTGTAAACTTTAAAGTGCTTATTTTATGTTATGTGAATCACATCTCAATTTTTAAAAATATCATCTTAAAATGTACATATCTGTTGAGCAAATGATTCATCCCCAAAACAAACTCAGGGGGCTCTGGATCAGCTCTAAGCCTGCTGGATTTTCCTGCTAGCTACGGGTCACAAGGAAACCTGATCTCTAAAGGGTGAGATGTTGGCACTCTGTGTGAGAAAAGGGTGTGGCATCGATTTATCTGCGTTTGTGCGTTGGCTGCCAGCTCTCTGGCTGGATATGGTCCATTACTGACATTTTTACTAACTTGAGGAGAGGAAGTTGGAGAGGGAGGCCTTGTCCACTTGTTTCTTGAAACTGATTTCTGGGGTGTGCCAGGTGAACAAAAACATCCTAGATATCGAGGCCAAGTACATCAGCTTAATCAAAGCGGGATGGGGCAGGTGGCAGATACTCAAGGTAGAACTTGGATGTATTTCACTGCAGGCTTTGGAAGCTTACATAAGACGCAAAAGAAAACCAGTTGGGGCCCTGTGGAGTCATGGTTTAGAGCTGTCATGAATCCAGAGAAATGTGCTCTGTCTGTAGTACAAACTCTGGTGGAATGGATGTAGGGCGGGGGACAGACATTCCAAGTGTGAATATTCAGGGGCCCTTCAGTCTGAACAAAGGGAATTTTCAGGGTTTGTTCTTGCAGATGAATTGCCTCTGAATGAAAAGGGAGGGCTGATCCTTTCCAAGGCTATCTCAAAGAGATCCCGAGAAAATTCAAAGTGATAAAAGGAGAAACTGTTTTTGCAGGAGAGACACAAGGCTACACTAATTATTTGCTCTTGTCACCAGGGCTCTGGGAGGTCAAAACTGACCTGCACTTGTGTGCATTTTGAAAGGTTCCTAGTATATTAAAATGGGAAGAAATGCTCCCTCCCCCAGAAAGTTTACTGAGAATTGTGGTCTATTTTAAATATTTACATTTCACAGATTAATACTTTTATCACAGAAAAATAAAGGTAATTACGCTTTTCCAAGATAATGCCAGGGCATATTTTAAATATAAGTATATTACGTGAAGTGTCTACAGGCAGTGATGGAACTCAGATTTAGAGTTCTACCCTGAAGGTCACTTTCTTTCAATCCATCATCTAGAGATAACAATCAGAGCCAGAAGATGGGGCCCCTTGTGAACTGTGAGACCCGAGCCCAGGGCCCTCTACCTCACGCTGACCCCGAAGCAGGCCCCACAGGCCCTGGGAGTCACTGCAGTTCTTGGGTGGGGGGAGATGATGCAGACTCAAAAGCTGTGTTTGCAGGGGAGGGTGTAGCTCAATGGTAGAGCTCATGCTTTGCATGCGTGAGGTCCTGGGTTCAATCCCCAGTACCTCTGTTAAAAAATGAATAAATAAAATAAATAAACCTAATTACCTCCCCCCCAAAACAACAACAACAGCGAAAGCTGTGTTTGTTTGTAAGCCAGTTCTTGTTCTTATTAAGACCTTTCTCTTCAGCCAAAAAGCAACTTGCTCTTGAGACCTAGTCCCTTTTCTGGCCAGTTCCACATGCTTGTTTGCTGCTGCCCTGCAGTGCCTGGGCATTTCTGTGGGATATGATTTTAGTCAAAAGCAGTAGCCTCTTACATGGGTAAAGGCAGTTGTTATTCGTTTTCCAACTGCAAACAACCAAAGTGCCGAGCAGGGCTGCCCTTCAGCCCTCCTAGGTCTCCCTTGGTGGACTGACTCCTGTGAAGGGTGTCTGTGAGGCCCCATGCATCTCTTTTCCTGCAGCCTTGAATCCAGATGGCCACACCCTCCAGTGACTTGGAATGGCACTGTGAGCCCCAGGACCCATTAGGGACTCATCTTGAGAAATGTGGGCAAGGGAGGTTGGTTTGGCTTCATCAGAGCACCTCTGAACAAGAGTGAGGGGACATACAGGCGTTTTGGGTCACTGTAGAGGGCAAGCTCCCTGAAGGAGGCTCTTGGATGCTAATCTCTGTGTAGGGTACCAATTGTGAACTACCTGGCCGTTCCCCAGTTGTGGCAGTCAGGGAACATTCCAGGACACCTGTCATGTACTGAGTATTAATCAAACATTTGTCATGGCATCATCTTATTTCATCTTTTCCACAACTCAATGATATAGGTACTATTCTCATGCCCATTTCACAGATGAGGAAACCAAGGGTAGAATGACCAAGCAACCTGCCCCAAATCACACAGCTAAGGAGTAGCAGAGCTAGGATCTGAAGACTGGTCCATCTGACTCCAGAGTTCAGGATCTCCGAAGCTTTATTTCTGGGTTTCTGGAGGACTGGCCTTTCCAAACCAACCTTACGTTCCCCAGGGCCTTTATGCTCCACAGGGCTGTGAAAAGAAGGATCCTGCAGTGTGGCTGTGATTGTAAACAACAGGGACACGCAAAGCTCAGAACCTCGGGAGGAAGGAAATCACAAGCCACTCCCAGAAGAGTTGTGAGCAGGGAGGCAAGAGGAGATGTCCGCGCCCTTGTGGAGACAGCCTCCTAACCAGGTCAGCCAAGGTTTCCCTGCAGCCTCTCAACAGGGGCCTGGGGTCCAGCAGAGACAGAAAGAGACTCAGGAATCTTGGAGCAGGAAAGAAGCTTGATGAATATTCACCCTGTCATGTTCCCGATGGGAACTAAGTAAAGCACACCCTGTCTGTGAGCCCAGCCTGGCTCTCCTGGCTTCCACATCTTTTAGAAGATGGGCCACTTTCTGAATTAGGAAGCCAAGGGTCTGAGAGGTGGTGTCATTGACCATGGACAGGAACCCAGCCTCAAGTTCCTTGGGATCTGCCACCTGCTAAAGTAACAGTGGACTATAGATGGGAGGCAGTCTTCAAACCCTCTTAGGATGAATCAATCAGATGTATTTTTGTGAGCATAAGAATTATCGGGGGGCATGTATTAAAAATGACTCCAGTCTGACTGCAGGTCCTGTTGTTGATATACTGTTCTCACTCCTGATCCAAAAAGTCCCCAACCCATTATCACCAACTTTTTGTGAACTAAATGGTGTTTTTTAGATTTGTTTCCTGCGGGTCTGGACCTGTCCAGGTTTTGAGCACACTTTTTAACCACTGCCTCTAGGGGGCAGAAACAAGACACTTGTTCTTTGAGCCTTGAAATGTCCCAGAACTTTAAGGAGAAAGTAAACGTCCAGAAGTGTTTAGAAAGGAAGCAGATCTTACACATGCTTTTCTCACTAGATTGAAATATGATCCAAAATCCTCTAAGGGACAGAAAACTGGTAGGAACACAGACTCTGAATTCAAATAGACGCAAGTTCATGGATCTAATGCATAGTGGCTATAGTTCATAATACTGTATTGTATATTTGAAATTTGCCAAGAGTAGATTTTAAATGTTCTCAACACACACACACACACACACACACACACACACACAGAGTAACTATATGAGGTGATAGATGCCTTAATTAACCTTATTGTGGTAATTATTTCATGATATATATGAGTATCAAACAACTCACTGTACACTCTAAATTTCTACAGTGTTATTCGTTAACTTTATCTCATTAGAGCACAAAAAAAGAAAGAAACAAAAACAAAAACAAACCCAAGTTTACTTCCAGAGTCAGTCACCTACTCTCTTTGTGGCCACAGGAGGCTACTTAAATTCATCAAGTCTCAGTTTCCTGTTCTGTAAGATAGGAATACTACTAGCCTAACAGGATCGCTTTGAGCCTTATATCACAATTGCTAAAAAAAGATTTGCTTTCACAATTACCTCAACTATTTCTGCTGCTCCTTAAGCAGCATGTGATTATTAAGTCTGAAGGGGAGGTGAACCCCACTTTCTTCAATAGTTTGGCTAATGCTCTCTGAAGAGGCATTCAGCCCATTCTTTTCCAGACTGTCCTAGGATGACACTTCACATCCTGGAAACCAATAATGTGAACAACACAGAGGCCACATTGGACAGAAGGAAACGTGTTGGCTTCCTCAATAAAATCAAACCCACTTCCTCCAAGGTCAGCCCCGGCTGCAGGGAGACTATCCACATGGGAAGGGTGGCTGGATCTCCTCTCTGTCTTCCAAGATTGACCTTCCCCTCGAGACGTCTCCCTAATCTCACTGGTGCCACCACGGGCAGGGAAATCTGTACCCCTTCCCCAGCCCCATGAGAACTTCACCTTCACTGCCCACATTAGTGGATCTGGGTTTGATTTTACTGAGGGTGTCAGTAAGTTTCTTTACCCTGAGACTTGGGGATTCTCTTCTTTTTAGCTTCACCCTTTTCAGCATCCTTGGTACCTAGTTGGGAAAAAAAAAATCATAGCAACTACCATTTTTTGAGCCCTTCTCATGTGCCAAGTGCATATAGATTTTCTCATTCCATCTCCGCTACAACCCAGTGGGTTAATTCCTATGACAGATAGAGAAACGGAGGCACTAGGAGGTTAGGTAACTTCCTCAAAGCCTCTTGGGTCATCAGTGAGGAGTCAGGGACTAGAATCCACTATCTGACTGCAGAGCTGAATTCCAGGTCACTTGACCATGAAGGGAATTGAATAAACACAGTCAGTGTCTCTCCACCCCTCCTTCCTTTGGAGCTCTGATAAAGCCTAAGGTCTTTAAGATACCAGTTTCATCAGAAAGTTTGACTGCAGCCTAGGCTCCCTCTGGCTGGCTCCTGAGTCAGGTAAATGTGTCAGTGACATCAGGGAAAAGCTGTCATGCAGGGAGAGAGCCAGCATCCCACAGCCACACTCTCTTCTGGCACTTCCTCTCTTTCTTTTTCTTTTCTTTTTCTTTTTCGGAGGGGGGAAGTAATTAGGTATTTATTTATTTATTTATTTTAATGGAGGTACTGGGGTTGAACCCAGGACTTCAAACATACTAAGCAAGTGCTCTACAACTGAGCTCTACCTACCCCTGGCACTTATTCTCTTTCTTATATGCGTCTCCCCACCCCGACTCCACCCCCACCCTTGACAGATAAGTTCCCTCCTGCTTGAGGCCCAGGGAGACATTCAGTTTCCTGGGCATGTCCCTTTGCAAATGTGTAGCTCCTTTGAGGCACGGTCAGCTTGCAAATACCAGACACAGGCAGGAAGAGAAACACCTCTGAGGTCCTCCCTTGGCAGATGAACCCGCCACGCCCCTAAACACACATGCCGTTCCCTCTTGTCTTACCTTTTCACCTCCTTACTTCTTCACCATTGTGAAGGCAAGACTCACCAGGGCATGTAAAGACACCGTCTCTGCCCTGGAGACTCAGAATCTGTCGCCATTGCTATGAGATAAGAAGGAAATTGCAGTGTTGAGGTTTCTTTCTTCTTCCTCACAGAGAGAAAAATCCCCAACTGTTGACAAACTCCAAATCAATCAAACAAATGATACTGGGAGGTTGCTGGGCAGCAGGGCTGCATCTGTGGCAAATGAGATCATGAGATGGCCTGGGCACAGAAACCAAGGTGGCAAAGGAGAGAGGGTGAAGAGGAGAGGAGAAAGCTTGAGAGGGGGATGCTTGAAGCTTAAGCGGAGTGAGGCCAGTGTGCGTAGATTCCCCAGGTGCCCAGGCTGCTGGGGCAGGCAGGGCCGGAAGGTGCAGAGGAGAGAAGGGTGGTGAGTGGGGAAGGGTCTGAAGAGAGGGCTTCTGTGTCCCAGCAGGCAAAAAGGAGCACCTTGGAAAGAAAAGCAAATGTTCCAGAGAATCATCAGGATTAGGACATTAAACATTCCAGGCCTGCTGACAGAACTGTGCTGCATATAAATTACTCCTCATAAACCTGACTTTAAACTAAGCTGGGGAAGGTGTCAAAAATTACAGACTGCAACTCAGCTGCATTAAAAAAAAAAGAGAGAGAAATTTAGGTTTATTTCTTGGAACCAATATTAGCTTCCTCACAAATTCCTATTCCTATTCCTATTAATATTAGGTGGGAGAATTTAAACTTGCCAATGAAAGGAAAATGAATCTCTTCTACTTTAAAATCCTCTTATTAGATTAGTTCACCCTCTTTTGGATAAATATTCAGTCCAGTCCCTGCCTGGACTGTATTGCCTGCTCTCTAGGTGTGCCCCGTCCTGTCCCTCCGCACTCTGCCCCATCCCTGTGTATCACCCTGGAGCAATGGAGAGAGTGGCTGGTCTGGGTGCTGGACCCTGTGCTCTCTGCTGGTCCTCAGTGACTTCTCCAGAGATGCCCTTCACCCACCAGGACTGCTGGCATCCATGGCTGAGGTCTGGTGGGGCCTGCTGGTTTACCTACCTGTCTCAGCCGTCCTGTCTCAGCCTTGCTGGTTCTGTACATAGAGACCTGCACCGGTCTGATGTCGCCGCATGTTTTCTATTTCCTGAGGCAGGTTGATAGGATCTCAACTAGAAGGCCCTCTGAATTCCC